TATTTAATAAATAAAAGTCACAAAAATCTATTGTAAATAAATATCTGTGTTTCCAATGGTTTCTAAATGTCATAATTATTGTTATCAAAAGTTATTGTATTTTACTATACATTCAGAAATATTATATATTATTTGAAAACCCCATTAAATAAATAAAGTGGTATTCAAATTAATTAACAGTTAAATTAGCATTGTGAATAGTATTAATATTCATTATTATAATATATTTTTAAATTTATATCAGTACTAATTGAAGTATAATATCTAACATTAGTTATATTATAAATGAATTGAAATCCAATATATGACCCTTTATTATATAATAATGTTTTATATGAATGAGTGGATAGTTATCACATATTTTCGATGACAACACCCTTTCATATCACTATTCATTTGGACTTCATTTTAGGTTTTATTGAAAATAATTAACTGGTTTTTGTGTTATTTTAAAATTATATTGTGACGGATCTTAATTGTTGAGTCTAAGTTGTGGTGTGAAGTGATTGAGCATTTGTCAGAATTGTATATTCCTTTGCGATTCTTGAGGTCTCGGATGCGTTTTGCCGTTGCGATGAGTTTAGACTCGAACTGTACGAACCATCAAAAACAGTAGTATAACTATTATCGGAGGCTAATTACAGTTAATACTGTCGAAGAGACTCCACTTTACTAAACAGTAACACACGATAGTCGCCGGGTATTTGAGTTTGAGTTAAGAGAACTTTAAGACATATTTAGTAATTGTAGCACAAATGATAAAAGTAGACATTTGTTTGCAGACTTAATATTGTTTTATTTTTGAGTTACATTTTTATATATATTTGAGTGCACGATTTAAAATATAGAGATGTGAATCGTTTGAGAACACAATCGTAAGAGAGAGTTGTGGCGCTAAGCAATGAGTATATAACTGGTATAGAATATTCTGTAACGCGAGTCCAGAATTTCATCAGAATTTTCGTATTCTGTAACGTTAGCGTACATTGCATCAGAATTAGGCTTCGCTGCAATGCAATTCTACTCAAAGCTTGCATCAGAATGTGAATAACTAACATTTATAAGTTATTATATTTTGTTTTAGAAAAAACACATTAAGGTGTGACAACACGCATCTTGGATTATTTTATATAGTAATAGTTCTATATGTAAGGTTTAATTATCAATATAGAAAGGGGGTTCTAAAAGTCATGCGCGGGGGTCAAAATCGAGTTTTCCCCAAATTATGTATCTAAACACGTATGTATGTATTATGTCTGGGTTTTATATTTAATCTCTTTTGGAATACGTTCATGCTACCATATAAATAAAATATTTTGAAATTAATATCAGTAGATTCAAACTGTAAATTCACTTATTTAAATACATAAAATATTCCAGGGTTTATTTTATTCAACTTACTGACGAATGTAATGCAAAAAGCTATATAATTTTATTATTTTACATTATTTTTACAAATTTATTATTAAATTAAACTAACTACAGATAACTAACTAACTGTAGATAGATTATTGGAATACGTATTAATTATTTCAAATATAATGCTTAACAGAGAGATAACTGTGCATGATGGGAAAAAGTAAAACACTTCGTAAACATCACCAAGTATAATTTGCAAAAACACATTGTCAGTAGTTCTCTTATGGCCTAGTAAATCACCAAGCTGATGTTCTTTGTCCAATTTAAAAATCATGTCACGCGACCATTTTTCATATAATCCATTGGCATGCATAATCGACATACTACAAAAATAAACACAGTTTAACAACGTACAAAATATTATATTATTTAAAAACATATACTATAGCTTACTATTTGTTAAAAAATTTTAACAAGTTCACTTTAAATGGCGATGCAACACTAAAATATGGTTGAATTTCGCGGCCATATTTGGATACATGGAGTTTATCTAAAAAACTGTTATCACTCTCATTTACCAAGCTACTAAAATAAAATAAATCCCCAAATAATTTTTCCTTGTTACGAACGTATGCAGCTTGCCCTGATGATAATTTTGAAATTATTCCCATTAGATACTCTCTATTTAAATACTCTTGGTAACTGAAACTCGTGAGCCGTTTATGTAGGTTATGCCCCGTTTTAATATCAGTGTCATAAATGAATTTATATATTGAATTACCGGATGGGGCAATAATTTCAGCAGGTTCAATTTTATACATGTCTACCCACGAATCGATAACTATATTTGCTGGGACATTTACAGTGTAATCTAATATATAGTTAGTGTAGTTTAAGAATAATAAATACGAATATACTAAAAAGGTTATGAGTACTTGACTTGAACTAGATTGTTTGCATAAATTAAATGAACTTGCTAATGAGCCGGTAAATTGAACCCGAACCAAGTTGAAAATTATGTTGTTAAAATTTGGAAACTCATATCGTAAAACAAACATTACGGATAAAAAAGTGATCAAGATCAGCAACTTAAAAACAATATCAAATCCTTCATTAAAGAACGAAAATATAGATTTTGTTCCTGGGTACTTTCTATATGCAATGTGACCAAGTTCCATGTAATTTATGACCATGGTATTCGTGTAATTAATATTCCTTAGATTACTTTCGCGAAATGTACTCTGAAACGCTGTTGCACTAAATGCACCTAGTATAAAATCGGGTGTATTACCATAAAGGTTTTCCAAGGAATAATTTGGATTTATCAACTGGATACTTTAGGAAAATAAATTATTAAGATATATGCAATTTTAATGAGCTTGCAAAATATTACCTATCATAATTACTGTGTTTAGCAAATAGATAAAGTAGATTCATTAATATACCACAAATTTTAAAACACATAATATTATTAGTTTTGAATTTATAATAATATAAAAATGGTCTAGCTGTAATTGGCATAAATGAAAACGCATTTGTTTGATTATCTTGATTTAACAGGTATGTTATTTTTAAAATTAAATTATTATTATCACAAAAATTAAAACACATTTTATTGCTCGTTTATTACGTTTATTACATTAATACATTATTTTTAATTTTTTTTTAACATATTGAACATTCAAATGCAATAACACAATAATTATTATTTTTACAAATTGATTTTTTCAAAGTGTTTTTAATATTAAAGTAGTAATATAAAAGAATTGTTATTAATATTAAATTTTCACCTTTTATAAATATTTTTATGTATACATTATATAATTAACTTTATTAGATAAATGATAATAAAATTTGAAAATTAATTTACACAAATATCAGCAATGTATTGTACGCAAATATGTTATTTGAAAAATATTTTATATGTATTTTATTTTATTCTTATATTGAAAGGATTCTTAAAAGATAAATGATAATAAAATTTGAAAATTAATTTACACAAATATCAGCAATGTATTGTACGCAAATATGTTATTTGAAAAATATTTTATATGTATTTTATTTTATTCTTATATTGAAAGGATTCTTAATAAAATATTTCGTTATTTAATTTTAATTACTATATATATATATATATATTAACATAATATAGTTAACAAGGATTGCATGGCAATGCTATAGAAACCCACATTTACAGTTAAGCTAATATAGAATTAATTATATTTTCATAAATTATAGATACTTATCATTAGTCAATAAAATCTATAAAATTATGTTCTATCACAATTAAAATTGTATTTTTCATTAGCGTTGTAAAGTTAAACAATGTTAGAAGATAGGGAAGAGTAGGAAAGGGAATTGCATGATTGGGGAGGGCTTGAAGGAGTTGCAAGATAGGGAGGGCAGGAAAGGAGTGTTCAAGATAGGGGAGGATCTAAAAGGAGAACGAAAGATAGGTGGGCCTAAAAGGAAAGTGCAAGATAGGGGAGGGCTTGTAAGGAGGGTGCAAGGTAGGGGAAGTAGTGATTTGATAACCCACTCTTTTACTACGTAAATGTGGGTAAAAAGTTCATTATTTGTTTACTCGATATTTGAACGCTATTCTGCTATAAGCATCTATGTCTGAAGCAGGCTATTAGTTTGAGAGTCTGAAACGACCGTTGGAACTTAAACTTAAAAATCTCACACACACAAAATTTTGAGCATAAAAACTGGTATGACTATAAAATTCAAAAATTCAAAAATTCAATTTATGAGTAGTGGTCAGTAAGGAATATTTTATGTATTTAAATAAGTGAATTTACAGTTTGAATCTACTGATATTAATTTCAAAATATTTTATTTATATGGTAGCATGAACGTATTCCAAAAGAGATTAAATATAAAACCCAGACATACCCAGTCCCATTTGTCATTCATACAATCTTTTTAATTAATTTATAAACTACATTATTAATTACATTATTGTAATTTTCAATTAATTATTGACAAATTACTCAATAAATAAAATTTTTTGATAAATAAATAAAATAAATAAATAAATTTTAATAAAATTTCAGTAGTACTGAAATAATATTAAAATCTAAACTTATAAAAAAAAATATAAATTGTATATTATGGTGTATATTAAAAATATAATTAGTAAAATTTACTAATAATTTAATATTGTATATTTTAGAAATTAATTTAATAAATTATAATGTAACAAAATTCCTGGGTAGCGTTGCCAAACCTCCTCCACTCTGGAGGATTCTCCTCCAATCGGCCCGAAGGGGAACAGTCCTCCACAAGAATTTACTTAAATTATTTAAAACTTTATTTGTAATCCTAGATATAATGCTTACTTATAACACATTATTATTTTCCAAAGATTATAAATTTATTGAGTGCAAATATATACAGTATCTTTAATAGATAAGAGTAATTTCATAAAAATCAATAATAAACTTTATTAATTACTTATTGATATCAAATTGACTAAAATTCTACCAGTAAAGGTTTTATTCATTTAAATACTCTTATAACTTAAAATAACATTAAGTTTATTATGTATATCGAAAAGTTCATTTGCGGATATTTATAGCATTTACCATTAAAATGTACCATTAATCTCGCCACTTATATTGACACTTTTTATGACAATGTGTACTGTATTTAATATTTCTTATTATATAATTTTGTGAACCACATGCTCATTATTAGATATACCTCCTTTAATCATATGTACTAAAATGAGAGATATGATTGTGACCTAGAAGGTATTATATAGGTTAAAATTATTGAGTTTATTATCTGAAAGGATTTCCATGTGGAAAATAATTCAATATCATTGCTCTTAAAGGGAATCATTTTTCTATAAATATTGAGAGCAAACAAGAATATATTTATTATTAAAAAATTAGTTTTTAAATAACTAACAATTAATATACTTATGATGTATATCCGGGCGATTATTATATGCATTGCTATACAGACTGTGCTCTGTTTTAACGACGGAAAACGTACGGCAAATACCGGCGCTTCCGGTGCCCGCTATGGCACCGTTCGGACCAATGAAATAAGTGATGCGGTAATTTGTATTACGATTATATTTATTGCCATACTTTTAAGGATTTGATTTTAAAACCCCCTTACAGTTATTACATTAATTCATAAACTATGAAATTATATTAATTTATTAGTAATTTTTATTAACTATACATTATTATCAATTTAACAATAATATACAATTAATAATTTTATTTATTTAATTACATTATTATTCTTAGTTCAACTTTTTTATTACAAATTTACTATCAAAATTTGACCTTACTAATTTTGATAAGTAATAATCTCATAAAATTAAAATGCAATTTATGAAAAATTTATAAATTGTATATTATAGTGTATATACCGAGATAATACAGCTAATCAAACTACTAATATTTCAATATAATTGCATAATTTAGAAATTAATTTAACAAATTGTAATATATATGAATCCGAAACTTATCTATGTTAAATTGTATTACGAAACATTATTGCATGCATTTAGTACAATGTTATATTATTGTTAAATAACTATTTTCAAATATACAATACATATGCTAATTATTCTCAACAACCACTTACCTTGCTCACAGGGCGCACACATATTATACCGAATCAACGAAGCACGAAAGGCCACCCCCGACAATATTTATTCCAATAACTTGACTAGGACAGAGGTAGAGGAAGGCATCAAGAAAGTGGTCGCTATATTCAATGAGGTGACCGCCAATTTCGAGTCCCAGGGATGCCTGTCCCGCAGCGAGGAGAAAATGAGAGATTGGGTATACAACTGCTATTACGTGATCGTAGATAGAATCATCAGCGGAGGTGTGAACCAGGTGATGGTGGGCGAGGGCGCCTACATATGGACAGAACCATCGGTTAACCGCGTACCAGTGCCCGGGTATCAGTTCCAGCTAGGTCCATTGTTTATCCGTGTTACTAAAGCGTAATAATATTTAACCATGCTTATATTAGCAGCTTGTTTTTATTGAGTTGCGTTCATGTTATTAAGGTTAATTATGAAACATTAAAATATTAATAAAAATTTTGGCATTATTTGATTTATTTCTAATTAATATATTAAAATATTTGTAACGGAGATTAGTGAATAGCCCAAATATTCATTGAAAACATTTTGTACAAAACTCCTAATAATTTTTAATGCATAATTACAGTTGTAACTTATTTATAAAGTTAATAGTAGACCAATAGTTCGGTAGTCCAATAAACTAATAATATAGTTTAAAAATAAATTAGCATAACTTATTATAATTACATTTCAGATTACAGTTTAGTAAAAATATTTCGACGACTTAACTTATGAAGTGCCGTCCATAGAGATAATGTTATTTTATGTATAAAATCAATATGTCAATATGTTTATAACTGGATTTACGGAACTATCTCATGATATTCGGAACACACATAACTACTTTGGTTGTTTGAACATAACCAGCTTGTCAAATTTAAAATATTTATCTATATCATTAAAATAATTAAAGTACTGTATTTAAAAATAAAATGTTTAAATTTCGTAGACTTTTAAGTTAAACATAACTACTTTGGTTGTTTGAACATAACCAGCTTGTCAAATTTAAAATATTTATCTACATCATTAAAATAATTAAAGTACTGTATTTAAAAATAAAATGTTTAAATTTCGTAGACTTTTAAGTTATAAAACATAAGCTGTAACAAAAATTTATTTGACAAATATAATATGCTTTTGCAATTGATTAAATTATAAATGGGGATAGTAATGCCAAACTTTTTTTTATTTATATTTTTATTACGATTATAATTTTTAAATTAAATAATTTTAGGATACTTGTAAATATGCTACATAAAAAGTTTTATATTTTTACAAAATATTCCGTATGGGAATAGAAATTATTACTTTCAAATTAGTTATTTTGTGATTTTAAAATAGTAAATAAATTTAATTAACTTTTTACAAACAANTAAATATGCTACATAAAAAGTTTTATATTTTTACAAAATATTCCGTATGGGAATAGAAATTATTACTTTCAAATTAGTTATTTTGTGATTTTAAAATAGTAAATAAATTTAATTAACTTTTTACAAACAAATTAATAATTATTTCAACTAACAAACAAATTACGGAAATTACTGAACACGCTGGGAAATAGTAAAAAACTTCATAAACATAAGCTAGCTTAATTTGTTTAAACTGATTTCCATATTGTCTTTTATCTAGTAAACTATCATGCTGATGATCTTTGTCCAATTTAATAATCATATCGATTGACCACTTTCTATATAATCCATTAGCGTGAATTAGCAGCATACTGTCAAAATAAATATATATTAGCCTTGTTAATCAATTATAATTAATAATAAATTTCTTACAATTATCAAAACTTTTTAATAAATCACTTTTTAATGGCGACGTAAGTATAAAATATGGATGACTTTTACCGCCATATTTGGATACATGAAGGTTATCCAGGAAATGATTACCAGTATCATTTATCATACTATTAAAGTAAAACAAATCGCCAAGCAATGTATCGCGGTTACGAACATAGGCCATTTTGCCTGATGCTAGTTTTCTTATTATGTCCAATTGAAACTCTTGATTTAAATATTCGTGGTATAAAAAGGAGACTATCCGGGTCCCAAAACTTTTTCCCATACTTGTATCACTTTCGTATGTAAATTTAGGTATCCCATCGCCATATAGTGTATATATTTGAACATGCTCATTGTTGTATAAGTCATTCCATGAATCGATAACAATATTAAGTGGAGAATTTACTGTATAATATAATATATAATTACGATAATTGATGTTAAATAAGAAAGAATATAATATAAATGTTACTAGTACATGTAGTGAACTCGGACATTTACACATAGCAAATACCCTCGTTAATGTTCCAGTAGATAGAATTTGTAACAAATTTAAAAGTATATTCCCAAAACTTGGAAACTCGTAACGTAATATGAGTGCAACGGATACGAAACTCACCATGCTTAATAGCTTCAAAGTAGTATCAAGGCTTTCAGAAGAGAATGAAAATATAGTTTTTGTGCCTGGATACTTTCGACTTGCTATGTAGCTAATATCCTCGTAATCAATGACCATGGTGTTTGAGAAATTTATTAGGTGAAACAGAAAGTCCGTGGAATTTTTATCTTA